AATAGGCTATCTGTGCTCTGCCCACCACGGGTATCGAAACCCGGATTCTAGCGTTGTAAGTCCGCAGACATACCGCTGTGCCACTGGGGGGCGTGTAAAAACGGACTTTTACATGAGTGAAAGAGATAAAAGTTTAAGAAAACATTCAAGAAACACTTACGAAAAAAAAATGAGAAATATTAAATATTTGATAAAACTATTCAGGGTGGAATTCTACTCTAGTAATTACATTAAAGGAACACTCCATCTTATACAGAGATTAAGCACCTTATATTAAAACCATTTTGGAGCCTCACGCCGTCGTTACAGTCCATGTTGCCATGTCCGGTCATACTTCATAAGCGATCGCGTATCTTGACAATAACCCTACAGAGTAGTTTTCATTGCCGAAGTTTCTGTCGAAAGGTTGTCACGTTCCGAGTACACCCTTGAGCTTTCCATGGTTCATCTAGTGTATGAGAATGACGATTTCTCAGCAGGCGTTTCAATAGTCTGATTGCAAAGAAATTCATTAAAGTTTAAATAAATTTATTTCAGTCCAAGGTACAGGTTGTGCCTAGCAAGGCCTCGTAGTAAGAGCGCTCAACTCGAAATCTGCAGGTCGCGGGATCGAATCTTCGTCACCGAACATGCTTGCCCTTTTGGCCGTGGGGGCATTATAATTTGACGGTCAATTCCACTGTTCGTTGTCAAAAGAGTAGCCCAAGAGTTGGCGGTGGGTAGCGTTGACTAGCTGCATTCCTTTTACTGCTAAATTAGGAATGGCCCTGAAGAAGAAATGAGTGTCATAAAATCAGCCCGAAAATCACCGATGACACATCAGCATCTAAGGTGTTCTAACTATCGTAAGCGGCCTCGATACTAAATAAATAAATAGTACAGGTCACGTTTCATTACTTTTTCTAAACTCCAAACTAAAAATTCCATACTTCGAAACTATTTATTGTCATATAGAATTTTGAAATTTATATGGCAAATATAAATGGAATCAATTTCTTCCACCATTAGAATAAGGTTTGTGTATGACTTAAAACTAGCATAGATTGACTTATACTCATTAAAGTTTATTTTGTATGACATTAATAACGACAAATAAAACATAAACCCGAGACAAATAAACTCCTATTTTAAGACGAATATACATACGATAAAGCACTTTGTTTCTAAATTACCTTACATACGATAAACGTGCATATAACTCTTTGAATATTGTAGGTCTTACAGCAAGTAATTGCACATCTAACCAGTATACAAAAATGCTGCTACAAAAGTGTGATTTTTCGAAGTTTTATGACGAATTTGAAATAATTTTTTTTTTTTCACCAATAGACAGTTCTAATCTGTATGCACAAAGTCATCAGAAAATTCACCGTTTTATGTTGTCAGAGGCATTATTGAATGTAGGGGAGGAAAGAAGAAATTGTACTTATCCACAGGTGAATATTTATTTGAACACTAATTGTGCAAGTTTTATAATGTGTGAATGAAAAGAATTGCTCGAGTACTGTGTAATGATGTGACACAGGAGGAACTTTTGGAGAACATTTGATTATTCCGACCACCTCATAGCTTAGTGATGAATATAACATACATATGAGCTCAGTCGTATAATATATATTAGAATCAACTCAGTTGCTCTTCATATTAGGCAGACAACAAATATATCAGATCATAAATAAGGATCTAAACAGTTGGGAATTCTATCAAAAGTTATTTAGAGAGGCACAAGGTTTATAAGTGACAAACAGAGACAGTACAGGACACTAGACATAAAAACAATGAGTGCTCCACAAATGATCTTCCAAGTTACTCATTCACATAGAACTTTATACAATCATAACTTTCGAATACTGTTGTTGGTGAATTACAACCCTCTCACAATTAAGAACACCCTTTGACATAGTTCACCAGAATAAACGGTTAACTTGTGAGATAGACTATGATGAAGTTATCAATCGGAGATACAAGGAAATTAGGGAAAAAAAGATGGAAAACGTAAGAGAATTCTTACCC